TCCAAAGTCGAGTATGAGGCAAAGAGCTTGACCAGAAGGTCAGCCTTCTCCTTCGCACTATGAGCCAGACTGTCATTGGACTTACGCAGTGGTGGAAGGCTAGACCTGCAGAAGTTACCTTCTGCAGCCTTAGCTAGCGACCAGAAAGCACGGCTCCCAGAGGGATAGCTATTCAGTCGCTCGCCAATTCTGGCAACGTGCTCCGACTTCGCCTTGGCAATAGCCCTCTTATAGGACCTAGAGGCGGCGTTAAATTTCCGCCTTTTCTCCGAGATATCAGGATCCCGGCATCTCCTAGCAACATTAAATGCCACGTATGCAGACCGCTTGAGGCGTGCAGCATCCCTACTGGCTTTATTATACCAGGGTTTGCTGCGACCCCCAACGGGCACCTCAGAAGAAGGAATGAATAATTCCATTCCCTGAAGCACCACGTCTTTAAGTCGGTCCGCACAGACGTCAGGATCATCGGAGGAAAAGCAGAGCCGCCCCCATGGGTAGGATGCGTAAAATTCACGCATTCCATCCCAGTCTGCTGACCTGTACCGCCAAACTCTTCGAAACCCGGTCGTTGTTCGACGACTAGGACGAGAGAGTGGTATGGCAGCACGGATAAGGCAGTGATCAGACGATCCAAGTGGAGCGTCGACCACCACACTGTATCCAGCTGGGTGAGTGGTCAGCAGAAGGTCCAACAAAGAAGGCTCGTGCCCCTCAATGTCTGGGACACGGGTGGGCTGTGTCACCAGTTGTGAGAGGCCGTAGGACAAGGCGAAATCGTAGGCAGCCCGACACTTTAACGTGGGAGAAAATGAGATAGGAAGCATTATATATACATCGTTTCATAGATTCGTGGTTCTCTTTGTGCTCTGCTTCGTATCTGATATTCGTACTTAATACATTCGAGGACGAACTCACCACCCACCACCTGGCCCACTTGGCCCACCTAGTGTTAAGTAGTTACCGGAGCCCATATACATCACATCGTAAATGCCATCACCTACCTTGAGATATACGTTCTAAGGTCTCAGTATAGTTACAACGGCTGCCTCACCCTTCAAACCGAAACGCATTAGTGCTTCATGGCAGAAATAGGCGGGGTGGTGGTAGCTACCCGTGCGGACTCAAAAGAGATCCGCAAAAGTTTGTAAGTCAAACCATTGTGCCAAACTTTATCGAACGCGGTGCACCTGTTGTACGCATGAGTGATTTGCGCGAAATCCAAAATGTTTTTTTTTGTTTGTGGTATTGCTGGTAGCCCGTAGGCCTCTCCAGTTTCACCAGAACAGGTGGGCGAGCAGAGGCTCAGCAAGGAGGGGTGGGATTTGCTAGCAGCTGCCCGAGCGTTTCCAAAGGAGACCTAACAAACAACTCAAGGGCAGCTACATCGCGAATGAATCTACTACCGGATCGGAATCGCGACCCGCTGAGAAGATCCGGCAAGAAACTCAGCGGGCTGATGTTTAGGTTAGTTTGCACGTAATGCCCTTGGATGAGACGAATTCTCTGAAGCCTTTGTAGAGCAGAAGCTCGAACAGTTTGCCTAGAGACATGAGGAGGCTAATCGGGCGGTTCCCTCCACGGTGTTCCCGAGAACTATAACATATTTTTCTTCAAACGAGGTTTTCGGAATGCGTAGCGATACGGCTTGCTTCTGTCACCTGAGGAATTATGAATCCCAACTATTTCCAAACAAAACTAAACGACCCAATTCTAAAGTGACATTAAACAATAAGCTTTAAAAGCAAGCTGAATATTTATACGTCATAAATTGCCGATGCGCAGTGCTCATGGATAGTAAATATCCGTGAGTGAAACAATACAAATGTATGCTTAGGTTTTTATTTAAAAAGTTATATTTTTTGTGTGATAGCCAATGATACACGCGGCGACTTATTTTAACTAGCTACAAACTGTTAAAAATGAGTCAACCAAACGAGGAACGGCCATCACAATTTTTAAATGCATTCACAAACTTAAAACTACACAAAGCCATAAGGTAATGCAAGGTTTGTTAAAGTTGATGTTCCCATTCGTCATTCCTCGGAGCTATCATCATGGGAGCCGGTGTAGGTGCTTGAGGAACTGCTTCGACTGCTACTAGAACTGCTGCTGCTGCTGCTGCTGCTGCTTTCGCTCCTGTAGGATTCCTCATTGTCCCCATCAGTGCTCTTCTCTACTACTCTATTGCTCTGTTTGCGCGCTTCTTGTTGTTGATGCGATCTTGATTCCGCTTCATATTTGTTGTAGCCATCAGTTTTTTCGAACTTTTTGGATTCGGAGGTAGAATTTTCATTTTGAGACGAATCTGATTGCTCAGATCTCATGACCGTTTTCTTATGTTTGGTGCTACTGTTGTTCTTGTCGTCTGAATCGTATTGCTTATCATTATCGTTGGACGTAGTTGCTCCGTCAGATCTTGTTCTTCCTGTAAAGACAGAGCAGTGGTCGATTAAAATATTTTTCGGTGCGTTACTGTGTAAGGGCACAGTGCGGACTAATTACGACTGTGTCGGGTTCTCGAATATCAACAAACCAATATATCTTCTTTTTTATTGCTTCTATGGGTGGACGAGCTCATCTCCCACCGGTGTTAAATAGTTACCGGAGCCCATTGACATTTATAACGTAAATGCCGTCACCCATCTCGGAACAACAGTTCTAAGGTCTCAGTTTGTACAGTAAAACGGCTGACCTGCCCTTTAAATCGAAGCGCGTTATTGCTTCACGGCAGAAATAGGCAGGGCGGTGGTACCCGTGCGGACTCAGGACTAGGATCGCAATAAAATTAGAAACAAAGAATTTCTCGAAGGGTACCTCGTTGCTCTGAATGTGTTTCTTCTTGTGACTTCCTGACATGTTCCTCTTCGGCTTTTGTAGAACGTGCTCGGGAGTCATTCGATCCAAACTTCCCAGTGGAACTCCTCTCCTTCTCTTCACTGTACTTCTCGTCTCTTCCGTAATTCTTAGATTGCGAGCTTTTTTCTTTCAAACCACCGTTATCTATCAAAAAATTAAATTAAATTAATCCCCGAAAGAAGACCTTGTACAATCTTTGTGGTGTAGCGTCGTCTACCCTAAATAGATTGGACTGATGGCCACTTAACACTGGGTGAACTCGACTCTCATATAGAGCGCAAATGGAAGTTTCTTATAATGCACACAAACTTCCACCTCATTTCGTAGTTGCGTCTGCATGTGCTACTTAAACAAAAGTACCCACCCTCATATCTCGAATGTGCAGATTTTTGGTTTTCAAATTCATTTCGGCTAGATTCGGATTTGTAGTTCTCCCTTTCCTGCTCTACGTTCTTATCCGATGATGAACCGTCCTTGGGCCTTTTATTATCTATGTTTTTGTCGAATGTCTTCTCTGTGTCTTTATCCGAGGATGATCTGTCGTTAGGCTTAGCCTTCTCTGTGTCTTTATGCGATGGTGATCTGCCATTAGGCTTAGTCTTCTCTGTGTCGTCTGAATCGAAATGCTCATCACCATCGTTGTACTTAGTCACTCCGTCAGATCTTGTTTTTTCTGTAAAGACAGAGCAGTGGTCGATTAAAAATGTTTTTGGGTGCGACACTACTGTGTAAGGGCACAGTGCGGACTAATTACGACTGTGTCGGGTTCTCGAATATCAACAAACCAATATATCTTCTTTTTTATTGCTTCTATGGGTGGACGAGCTCATCTCCCACCGGTGTTAAATAGTTACCGGAGCCCATTGACATTTATAACGTAAATGCCGTCACCCATCTCGGAACAACAGTTCTAAGGTCTCAGTTTGTACAGTAAAACGGCTGACCTGCCCTTTAAATCGAAGCGCGTTATTGCTTCACGGCAGAAATAGGCAGGGCGGTGGTACCCGTGCGGACTCAGGACTAGGATCGCAATAAAATTAGAAACAAAGAATTTCTCGAAGGGTACCTCGTTGCTCTGAATGTGTTTCTTCTTGTGACTTCCTGACATGTTCCTCTTCGGCTTTTGTAGAACGTGCTCGGGAGTCATTCGATCCAAACTTCCCAGTGGAACTCCTCTCCTTCTCTTCACTGTACTTCTCGTCTCTTCCGTAATTCTTAGATTGCGAGCTTTTTTCTTTCAAACCACCGTTATCTATCAAAAAATTAAATTAAATTAATCCCCGAAAGAAGACCTTGTACAATCTTTGTGGTGTAGCGTCGTCTACCCTAAATAGATTGGACTGATGGCCACTTAACACTGGGTGAACTCGACTCTCATATAGAGCGCAAATGGAAGTTTCTTATAATGCACACAAACTTCCACCTCATTTCGTAGTTGCGTCTGCATGTGCTACTTAAACAAAAGTACCCACCCTCATATCTCGAATGTGCAGATTTTTGGTTTTCAAATTCATTTCGGCTAGATTCGGATTTGTAGTTCTCCCTTTCCTGCTCTACGTTCTTATCCGATGATGAACCGTCCTTGGGCCTTTTATTGTCTATGTTTTTGTCGAATGTCTTATCTGTGTCTTTATCCGATGGTGATCTGTCGTTAGGCTTAGCCTTCTCTGTGTCTTTATCCGATGGTGATCTGTCGTTAGGCTTAGCCTTCTCTGTGTCTTTATCCGATGGTGATCTGTCGTTAGGCTTAGCCTTCTCTGTGTCTTTATGCGATGGTGATCTGTCGTTAGGCTTTACCTTCTCTGTGTCTTTATGCGATGGTGATCTGTCGTTAGGCTTAGCCTTCTCTGTGTCTTTATGCGATGGTGATCTGTCGTTAGGCTTTACCTTCTCTGTGTCTTTATGCGATGGTGATCTGTCGTTAGGCTTAGCCTTCTCTGTGTCTTTATCCAATGGTGATCTGTCGTTAGGCTTTACCTTCTCTGTGTCTTTATGCGATGGTGATCTGTCGTTAGGCTTAGCCTTCTCTGAGTCTTTATCCGATGATGACCCATCTTTAGGCTTGTCTATGTTTTTGCTGGAGGAATCTTTTTTGTCGTCGCGCTGGTCCTTATCGGTAGTGCTTTTCTTGCTTCTATCTTCTTTCGCTTTGGAACTCTCAGTTTTCCTAGAGCCACATCTTGTCTTTCCTTTTTGTTCTCTCTTTTGATTATTGGGTTCTTCTTTCTTTGCAACATTATCATCTGTCTTTTTGGAATTTTCGTTCGTCGAAGAGTCTTGTCCGTCTTGATTATTTTTCTGTCCCTTTGATTGGTCTTTGTTTTTTTGTTTGCCTTCGCTATCATTCGTGGAGCTTTTACTTCCATCTTTAGGCACCTTCTCCTTCTGCTTACTAGCATTCTTAGTGACTCCATCTGTTTCTGTAGAGGTTCCCTTTTTGCCCTTATTCTTGGGCGCTGTATTTTTTTTTTCTGTGAATAAAATATATTTTTTTTCAAACCAATTTCTATTTTTTCTAATTCTTAAACGAAATTCCCAACCAAAGAAAGATTTTCGTTGTTCTAGCAACTAGGTATCTCGATATGTGTAAAGATACCACTTACGTAACCTAAGTGAAAAGGGTAAAATAAATTTATAATCAAAAAGAGATTCTCTCTTTCGTACACTAGATACAGACTTCTGTCTGTGAGTGTCTGCGAACGAGAGCATCACTTCCGCAGCTACACAATTCACTGTGAATTCACATGTTTCATTTGTAGTACGTAGTTCATTGTACACTCACCTTTACTTTGAGTACGTTCACTTTCTGAAGTCTGCGCGTCTTTGTCAGAGTACGTTTCTGTTTCTTTATTCACTTTTCGGCCAGATTTGTCTGACTCCGAGGAATCCCGAGAGTTGCTGCCCTTACTTTGATTCACTCTAGAAGATTGTTCTTTTTCGCGCTCAGAAGTATTGTACGTTCCGTCAGAATCTAAAATATTAATAATAATCCATAAATCCTTGCAATAAATAACACCTTTCAGAAATTTAATACAAAATCTATCTAAAATTATACTTCTTGTGTCAGTTTTTTCCTTTTCCTTTTTATCTCTGGCAGAATTCTTTTCAACCTTCTTAGATTTGGTTTGGTAGTCAGCCGATGCATCGCCGTCGTTAAAGGATTTATTACTGGAGTTCTGTTCACTGTACTCCTCGTCTTTACCGGAACTCTTGCGTTCCGAGCCACTGTTCACTGACCGATTCTTATCTGTTGATGTAGATGATAAGTCAATCGAGTAGTAAAGAGCTTCGGTGACTATAGAATATACGTGAAGAATACGTGTCGTGGCGTGAAACCTCTTTGTCAGGACATGCCGTCTACAATGACTGATACTCGACAGGTGGTACGAAAAAAAAAAGAAATGGAATAGGGTGGACGTGACTAGCAGCAGTCAGTATATTCAATGCCTTCCTAAAAGACACACGAACGGTACACGAACCAGACGGTTTTAACTGGTGGTAGGACCTCTTGTGAGTCCGCGCCGGTGGGTACCACCACCCTGCCTATTTCTGCCGTGAAGCAGTAATGCGTGTCGGTTTGAAGGGTAGGGCAGCCGTTGTAACTATACTTGAGACCTTAGAACTTATATCTCAAGGTGGGTGGCGCATTTACGTTGTGGATGTCTATGGGCTCCAGTAACCACTTAACACCAGGTGGGCTGTGAGCTCGTCCACACATCTAGACAATAAAAAAAGTGTCTGGTTGTCAACTGTTTTTTAAGGCTAATTGTGTTTTGATGTGCAATAAAGTGTATTCCCTCTCTCTCTCCTCCCTCGTGTCCAATTTAATTTAATTATGTAGTACTCACCCCTATAGGTCGAAGATTCAGCTTCTTTATTTTCAAATTCACGACTTTTCTTGTTGGATTCGGATTTTTCCCTTTCGACTGTGACGCCGCTCTTCGAGCCATCACGCTTGCCTGTCTTCGTTTCTGATGATTTATTGGTTCCTGTCTCGGAGTATTTATCGTCAGTATCCTTTCCTCTATTTTTGTCACTATCGTCGCTGCCAGTTTCCTCATCTTGGCTTTGGTCATCTCGGCTTTGGTCGTCTCGGCTTTGGTCATATTGGCTTTGGTCATCTTGCCTTTGCTCATCTCGGCCTACAACAGTTCTCCTTTCGTTCTCATCTTCATCTAACTGCCTTTCATTGTTGATTTTTGTTTTCTTTTCTGTATTAAGAAGTTTGTTACCTTTTAAATATATGTAATATTAAGATTCGAATCGAAAGCTCTGCAGCATATATAAAAGATATGTAAAAGATTTCTATACAAAAGATATAGAAAGTTATTTAGATATTCGCTAATTCTGTCGAAGTGACGCTCGCTACAGGTGAGCTCAAGCCTTGGAGAGCAAGTCCGCTTGATATCGCGAAGGCCTCCGACAGGGTCTGGTACTGTCGAAGTTACCAATTTATGAATTCCTCGAGGGACTCGGAAGGGGATCGCTACCATTTTAGGTGGACGGACCATCACAGTCGTCGTACATGGCTACTGCTTCGATGCCATGACCATTAACGCTGGCGTTCCACAAGGCTGGGTGCTCTCGCTGACGCTTTTCATCCTATTATCTATTGATGGCATGCGTTGCTATGCGGATGACAGCACGGGGAATGCGCGATATATGTGCCATCAGAGTCTCTCTTGGAGCGTGGTGCAGGAGACAATCAAAACTTTTGTCTGAAGTGGAGAACTCTTGTGTGGGTCTCCGAGTGTGGTGAATTGAATTTAGGTCTCGATTCTCGCTCTGTTTGTAGTGTATGTTACATGGGGAGCGCTCTGAGGGATTTTTTGAGAAGATATCATTCCAAACATGACATTAAATCGTAAAAGTAGCTTTATGTCTATGCCTCATGAAACTCAAAGAAAATACTGTTGTTAGATTTCTTTCCAAATTTCAGGATTTTGAGAATCTATTATTATTTTTATTATGCTCTGAGGGTTTGTTTGAGAGGATATCATCTCGTTTTTACCTTCGCGCCCCGTCCGCTATTGGAGTAGAGCTCATGCATACTACCTAGAAACACACTGCATTCGTCCACAGTGCGTTTCAAGAGATCTTTTCTGCTACGAACCATGCGGTTTTGGAATGAGCTCCCCCTCTACGGTTTTACTCGAGCGTTAGGACATGTCCTTCTTTGAACGAGGCTTTTTTTAATATTTATTGCTTAGATGGATGGACGAGCTCACAGCCCACCTGGTGTTAAGTGGTTACTCGAGCCCATGGACATCTACAACGTAAATGCGCCACATACCTGGAGATATAAGTTCTAAGGTCTCAGTATAGTTACAACGGCAACCCCACCTTTCAAACCGAAACGTATTACTGCTTCACGGCAGAAATAGGCAGGGTGGACCTACCCGTGCGAACTCACTAGAGGTCCAACCACCAATTAGTGGTTACCGGATCATGGAGGTTAGCAATGGCAGGGGTAGAGTCAAGCCACTGCCTACCGCTGAGTACTCTCCGTTTAGGTACCACCGCACTTAACACCGGATGGGCTATGAACTCGTCCATCCATCTAAGCAATAAAAAAACCATCATGTGGTTTACACGCGCCTGACTACAAGATTAATAAAAGAATAAAATAGAAAACTTTTGACTCAAAATGAGTACCAATTAGCCCAAGGGTTCTCACACACATTGGATCGTGCAATGCGATCAATTGACTACGAGACAACTTTTGGTTTTGAAATGAATACTGCCATTTGACATTGCCATATGACAAAACAGGAACTGCCTATCACCTGTTCGAGTCATGGTCAGTTTTAAAATAAAACTTCGCGAACCATTCCTGTAAACCTGTCCAAACGCTTAAAAACGGTTTTGAATTGTCTCCACAAAAGTTCGATTCGGGGGTTTTATAAGCTCACCATATTTCTTTTCCTTTTCCAGTTTCGACTCTTCCTTGTCGGAATACGATTTTGAATTATCCTGCTTCTTCAAGCCGGATTTACCCAACGAGAAGGACTTAGACGACTGCTCGCCGTACCTTTCTTTTGATTTTTCCAAACTCTCTCTTTCTCTCTCTGAATATTCGGAGGATCCCCCGTTGTTCTCTAGAAATGGATTTATGACGATTACTTTGACTCTTATCTGAATGTTGGGCCTAGGAAGGCTGCTTTATGAAACAGCTCGTGTCGTACGATCGGGATCAGTACTAAGTATAAGGATCCGCAAATTGTAATATTAAAAATTCTAATTCAAAAATTAAAGGATAACAAAAAACAAGATAGGACTCCCAACAAAATTAAATTAGAATAACATTAACGTGAACAATGAAACATTGAATCGTGCATCGTTAAGGATAATTATCTCACTGTCATCATCATAAAATAATCATCGAAATCGCTTCAAGTAGAAAAAAATTCTGACTCACACACATATAAAAAAACAGTCGAGTTGAGAACCATCTTTTTTTTGAAGTCGGTAAAAATTGCTCACATATATTATTACCATATATGTTTACACATTACCATTTTTTTATATAAGAATAAATGAACATATGAAAAAGATTCATTGAAATCATGGCGTCTAAGTGATATGTAAGTTGATTATTTTAGTTCGTACGCCGAGCGGGGAGTTGAAAGGTTTCCAGCAGCGTCCGGAAGGTTTCCTCAAGACGCGTGGCTTAAGTTGGAAGGCAGCTCTTCCTGGCAAAATTAGGTAGGACTGACTGATGACCGCGGGCAGAGACTCACAATATCGAGCTGACTACTAGTCATTCGAACGATTCAGAAATTTGATGTACATTAGTTTGGATTTTCTTTTTCATTCGACACTCTGTGACTGGAAATTTGTCCACTGACTATCGTCAACCGATTTTATTCTCGGAAAAAAAATTGTAATTTATCGTCGATCAAACAACAATTCGCACCTTTCCTTTCGTAGTCTTTCTCATATTCGCCTTCGACTTCTTTTCTTTCACCTCTCTTTGATTTCGTTCGCTCGGCACTAATACCGTCCTTGCCAATGGAGAACTTGTCGTGGGTCCTACGTTCTTCATACTTTTCCTCTTCACCGTATTTTTCGTATTCGGAACCTTTGCTGTATGAGCCGTCGCTGTCGTTATCCTCTGTAGAGAAAAAGAAATTAGTTAAGTCCTGTGTGGTTGAGTCAGAAACACCGGCCCGGGATGATGGCCAAATGTCTGATTCCTTTTCTAGATTTAGATTCCGAAATACAACAGACGGTTCTGCCGATGCTGAGCAGTTTTCATTATAGTACACTAAGTATAGCATAGTCTTATATCTCGTACATAGAATTATTTTTAATTAGCAAGCGACTAAGATCTCAGCTGTCTACATTTGAATATCGGGCAAAAAATCGTGCGGGTTCGTATAAAAAAATACTGTACTAAATTAGATTAAAGTCTCTACATACATGGTATTCGAAACGGGTAATAAATATTAAATGTAAATAATAAAGGCAAGATTAAAATGTAATTATAATTATTACCATTTTTTTGCATTTCCCTACCTATTCGCTGGTAGTCTAAGGGGTTATTCCGACCAAGCCTGGACGGGTAGCTGAGCTCACGGACTCAACTTGAGAGAATTTGCCAACACTAGCTTTAGCAAGACCAGTGCTTCTACTACCGGATCGAAGTAGCAATCCACTGAGAAGATCCCGCGAGGAACACAGTGAGCAGTGGATACGGGTTAGTTTGCTACCAAAAGGGGATCCGGGAGATGCGATAATACGAGCCACCGTTCTCAACCACAAACGATTCACGTAACTTCGCACCTTGCGTTTCCGCCAAAATCTTATTCTAATAATTATCTCCCACGGTCGAATTAGTATTACTAATAGTAATATAGTACTTACTAAAGAAGTACTACCCACCCTGGTGTTCAGATCTGCGTTCTTCATATTCATTACGATCGTAATCAGACTTGTATCCTTCTTTTTCTAAAGTCAATCCTTCGTCTTTCGAGATGGATATCTTTATTTTTTTGTCTTCCGTGAGCTCGTCTTTCAGATCTTCGCCGACATCCACTAGTTTCTTTTTGATTTCTCCAGCTTTTTCTTTAACTGCTTCTAATTTGTCTCCAACATTGTCTTTGAGATTTTCAAATTTTTCTCCAACATTGTCTTTGAGATTTTCAAATTTTTCTCCAGCCTTCTCTTTGATATTTTCAAGTTTTTCACCAACATTCTCTTTGAGATTTTCAAATTTTTCACCCACGTTCTCTTTGAGATTTTCAAATTTTTCACCCACATTCTCTTTAAGATTTTCAAATTTGTCCTCAAAATTTTGTTTTTGTTTGCTAAGCGATTTAATTAAGCCCCCGAAAAGTGGATCTGCAAATGTTTTAACAGTATTAAATTTATTGGGCATCGAATCTTTGAGTTTCACTTTATTTTAAACTAGTTAAAAAATTATTATCATTCAACTGTGCACTTCCAAGCTGCTAGCCGACTCCGCGCGGACGATTTAAACAAGACAGTATTATTATAATAATAAAGTAACTTTAACACTATATAATTACTTACTGGGCAATGCGTTGACCACAGCCACGCCCTGGAAACGAAATATAAATAAATCATACACTGCTCGAATCCAGGGTCCATATGCTAAAATGGCTTATTTGACGGCCATGTTAACGCCCCTGATAATCATTGGGGCACAAAAATACTGATGTGGAGATGTCGTAGCCTGGGCAGACAGCCAACGAGGAGGGCCGATGACCTGGTCAAAGTGGTTGGAAGGAATTGAATGCGAAAAGCAAGAGACCGAAGAGAATGGGATGCATTTGAAGAGACCTACACTCAGCATTTGGTGGACAGGGGTTGAAGGGGTTGAAGAGAATGGCCTATTTAGAAAGGGTCTTGTCATGAGTGAGGATATTATAAAGGTCTCCGAGCATTTCAACACAATTTCCTTGATTGGAATTTCGTAGAATAAACTAGCTAATTAGAGTAAATAATTTTTTAATGAAAAATAATAATTTTTCTTTTATTAGTATGGCAGTTGACTTCTTGTGACAAAATTAAAAAGGAGATTGGCGAATGGTGGGACAGCCGTTGTAATTATACTGAGACCTTGGAACTCATATCTCAAGGTGGGTGGCGGAATTTACGTTGTAGATGTCTATGGGCTCCGGTAACCACTTAAGGAATATCGCCTTTTTTCTTTGATAAGTGGGGTGGACCAGTTCACGGCTCATTTAGTGTTATGAGCTCCATCACATGAGCTCTAAAACATCAACAACGAAAAAGCCGCCCATCTTGTGAAATGAGCTCTAAGGTTTTACAGTACAACGACTGCCTCCAAACCGAAATACATTACTGCTACTAAATAGGCAGAGTGGTGGTACCTGCCCATGCGGGCTCAAAACACGTCCTACCACCAGTAATTACGCCAAATTATAAATTTTGGGTTTTTCTTTATTGCTTAGATGGGTGGATGAGCTCACGGCACACCTAATGTTAGGTGGTTACCGGAGCCCATAGACATCTACAACGTAAATGCTGCCACCCATCTCGGGACATGAGTTCTAAGGTCTCAGTTTATAAAGTACAACGGCTGCCCCACCCTTCAAACCGAAGCGTATTACTGCTTCACGGCTGAAATAGGTGAGGTGGTGTTATCTACACGTGCTCACAAGACGTCCTACCACCAGTAAAAATGAATGAAAGATAAATAAAATCGTGGGATGAGAATCAAATGTTCCAAAATTATGTTACATTTTAGATACAGGCCTCATCTTTTCGGCGTGGACGGTGATTGTAACCAGCTGGTTACATAGGCCGTGAAGTGCTCACATTTATACAATAAAAACAAGAAGCATTAGTACAGACTTCTGAGGAACCAGCATATCAAAAACGAAAGCAACTCACCACAAGGAACAGCAAGACGTATGGGATCTTCATGATGACTCGTGTGGCTCAGAACGGACAGACCACCTTTATATAGCCGGTGCCACAAAAGACAGTGCACGTCGGTCAAACTGTGTCAACATTATATTTCATTACAACGAATGCTAATAATGTTTATCCTCTTTTTTCGGTTCAATTACAAAGTAATTGATGTTTGTTCGAGACAAACTTTTTAAAAATTCACTTCCAGGCTATTCAAGATTATCCGAATGCGACTTAAGACGCGCTTGGATAACTGAAGTGTTGTTTGGTCTCCAATAATGATGCCGATCGACTATGTTGGCTGATTACCGCTCCATCGCGTGATTATTTATGAAAAATCTCCTGCAATCTAGAATATCCTTTACCTAACACCTGGGATCCTCTAATCGTGAAGATGAAATCCAAGTTCATTCAACAAACTGCTAAACCTCTTAACCCAGTCGATTGGTTCTGTGCGAAATGAATCGTAAAAGTATTTTAATAAATAGAGGGTAGTTAGCATAATATTCATTTGTCGACGCGTAGCTCTAGTATCATTTTCGACCACGGAAAATATAAAGCATTCAAAACATCGGAATTATTTTCTCCCACCTAATCCCGGCTTCCTGTGAGGATTGAATTCACGACCCCTGGTTTAAAGGAAAAGAGACAGGCAAGCTAGAAGATGGACAGACGATATCAAGATGATTGGAGAGACAATCTGGTCAAGAAAAGCTACCAATAGAGAAGAATGAAAGCAGCTGGAAGAGGCCTATGTGTCACAGGACACGCTGATCACTGAACCGGGAAATCCGATGTATTAGATTTAAGTTAAAACAATTTGTTACTGTATGTAAAATTATTAGTTATTGTTTAGTATTAGCAATAAAGGCTATACAAAAAAAAAACAGCTTAAGGGGCTTTTCCAGCTTCGCGCGGACGGATAGGTGAGCTCTCGGGCTTAACCCGAATTAATTTGCTAACACTAGCCCTAGCAAGAGCAGCGAATTGAATCTACCACTGGAATGCGAACCACTGAGAAGATCCGGTGAGATCTTAGTGGATTGGGTCTATAGATTAGATCGCTTGTAGATCGATGAGTTCAACGAGGATGGTGACCGGTGCTTGAAAAGCTTAAAAGCACCGAATTTTGCGGGTTTCACTTTTATTGCACGATGTTATTCCTTCACCGTGGAAGGCAATCGTGAACATTTGTTGGGTACGTAATTCATTAGAAAAATTGGTACCCGCCTGGGATTCGAACACAGGTGCATCGCTCAACACGATTGCACCGGACTTCTTATCTCTTAGGCCACGACGACTTCCAGGGGATCCGAAAAAACGCAAAATGACTCGTGATAATAGAACGATGATACAAGAATGCACACTCGATCCTGTAGACCGAATGGTAACAGTCGACGTCGCCCTAAACAGTAAACAGGGCTCGACGAGTAAATTAACCCATAGACACAGCTCACTGAGTTTCTCGCCGGATCTTCTCAGTGGGTCGCATTTCCGATCGTGGTAGATTCTGCGAAGTACTGCTCTTGCTAGGGCCAATGTTAGCAACACTCCCGGTTTGAGCCCCGTGAGCTCACCTACACACCAAGGAGAAGCTGAAATAGCCTCCGGAGGCTATCAGAATAGGTAGGAAAAAAAACTAGAATGTTCTTCGATGAAACTTAGTCCGTAACTTTATTAATTTACTCAATGCTTAATAATACTGAAACTAGATAAAAATCAGCCTACAGCTTTGATCATCTCTTTACAAACTGCCCATTTCTACCATTAAGCAGTAATGCGTTTCGGTTTGAAGGGTGGGGCAGCCGTTGTAACTACACTTAGACCTTAGAACTTATATCTCATGGTGGGTGGCGCATTTACGTTGTGTCTATGGGCTCCGGTAACCACTCAGCACCAGGTAGTCTGTGAGCTCGTGCACCCATCTAAGCAATAAAAAATAAAAAGACTTATCGGAGTAAGTACAAGTTATTATTTTTCATAGCAAAAAATAATAATTATTATATCCTTCCAAAGTATTAAAAAATGTTAATTAACCAATTTCGGCTGATGCGACAGCCACAGGTGAAGCATTTGTGTAAATAATATAGATATTAATTATGATAATTTTAAGAGACTTCTTGAACTTGTTTGTTTTGTGGCTGTCGACAGGTGGCTTCATGTCTGTTTGAATTGTCTAGCATGCTCCGTGAACAAGGATGTACTCAGAAACTGCCGACAGTAGTCCTGGACGAAGGGACCAGACGCCGACATCAGCGGTGAGGACATAACTCATTCTCGGCTTGCCGACCCCATCGTGGCGAGAGCTGAGACCGAGGAGGATGATCAGTGATCTCCGCTTGGCCTCTTTCCATGTACGAATGTGACGTGTATTCAATGTGTGTGTGTGTATTCCTACGAATAAATAGTCTTATTATTTATTCGTAGGTGTATTCAATATATGTGACTCGAATGGGCACTGCAATATTTACCTTTTGAATTAGAATACATTGCAATGGATTGGATTGCATTAGATTGGAATTTATTAATCTGGCTAACTTCTTCTCGGTATAAGCTCTCATTGCGAACGCGTTATTTAAAACCTTTTCCAAAACAAATGGCCAACAAAAGAAGAAAGCGCCTTTTGCGAAAATTAATTTTTGGTAACTTGAAGTACCTAAAAGCACCGTTAGTGGATCGGGAGGACCGGAAATGACGTGTTTTGGGCGACGTCGACTGCTTTCCATTCTTTCCGCAGGATCGGGAATGTAGTTACCGGCGGCCACGATGAGAGGGTTCTCGTGTCGTGCCGCTTTATCGAAGTGGCGGATCGACGCCGACTGTAAATACTTACTAATGGACTCTAAGTCCAGGTCGTCATGGAGGTCGACGTTCCTGACGAACCACGGGGCTCCGACGGCTATCCTGCAAAAACGAGACTGAATGATTTGGAATAATTTTAAGTGAGTGCGGGCCGCGTGAGCGAACACTACACTTGCATAGGTCATGACGGGGCGTATGCAATTTTGTAGAGTGTCACCTTATTTCTAAGGGACATTTTACTTCGCCTACATATCATCGGGTAGAGACGTCCTAGTATGAAGGCGGCACGGTCGCGTACCGTCTTTATATGGGGGCGAAATGTCATCCTTCTGTCGAGGGTGACGCCTAAATATTCCTTCGGAGATAATCTAGAAATAGACCTTCGGGGCCCACGGTATGGGCTGGTCGTACATCGTGATTGGGCGAATGGCGGAGGTGGAGGTGTTGACGCGCCTAGTCTGGAGTGGGATGCTCAACGTGGTGTTCGGAGGGCGACCCCTTTTGAAGAGCACCGCTGTGCTTTTCGTGGGGTTGATGTCGATGCGCCACTTCCGGAACCACTGTCCCATGGTGGTAGCTGCGGTCTGGAGTCGCCGATGAAGCAACGCCTTCTTCCTACAGTAGTAGTAGATGGCCGTGTCATCGGCGAAGAGCGCCAGATAGATCTCCGGAGACCGGGGTATATCATTGATATACAAACTGAACAGTAACAGGGAGAGGGCGGAGCCTTGCGGGACTGCTGTGACGTGTTAAACCTATTAACCTTTCACCCCTCTATATATATCTAGTCTTGCCATAAATACTGAGACAAAGGAAAAAGAAAAAAATTCTATTGCAAATAACATTTATTACTTTTACAGTGTGTTAGCTTAATACATAAATATAAAACAATTTAAAGTATAAAAAGCTTATTCGAAGTAGTCTCCAGTGGCTGCAATACAGAGTCATTTAAACGTTGAGGCCAGTTATCAATAGAAGCACGCACTCTTTCCATGGGAAAAATTTTCACTGCCAATCGTACGGATTATTTTAGGGACTCCAAATTATCATGGCGTTTAGAGCAAGCCGTACTCTCTAAAACTGACTATAAATCATAATCCAGCGGATTAAGATCGGGACTAGACGACGGCCAGTCTTCAGCTCTGATGAAGTCCAAAACGTTCGTTTCCAACCAAGACTGCGTAGACCGAGCTTTATGACCTGGCGCTGATTCTTGCTGGAAGGACCATTCTTGATTATTGAACATGGTGTTGTTAAGGGGCTTCACTACCTTCTCAAGAATGGTATCTTGATACACTTGTGCCGATGTTTTGATACCTTTTTCACAAAAGTATGGATCAGTCACTCCTTCATAGCTAATACCCCACCAAACCATCACTGAAGTCGGATAGTGCCCACGTTGCACTCTGTCGACTAATTGGGAAGCTTACTTAGAGCTTTGAGCATAAATATATAAATATAAAATTTGAGCAGTCATTTTGTTTGTTACAATGTTGCTCAATTGTAAAAAATTTCTCATCCGTAAACAAAATTTTTCTATGACCTCCCTTTGCGTACCGCTTCAGTAGTGTTTCGATTTTACCACCCTATTCTCTTTTAAATTATCAGTTAAGAAATGACCAGTATGTCTCTTATATAGGCTGCAAGTCCCAAGTCATCTTTTAAAATACGCGACATAGTTCTAGGTGCTATCTTCATCTCCCGAGTTAATATCTTTTGCTTTCGGACAGGATTTCTTCAAATTCTTTCCCTTACTGCTTTGACCACCTTTTTCGTACGAACACTACGTGGACGGCCAGATTGGCCTTTTTCTATCACAAACAGAGGAGGTCTCATTGCACCTGTTAATAGCCCGGTACACAAACATTTTACTAATACCAAGCGCATGGAGCGTTTTAAAAATTGCATTTGGCTCCATACCTACTTTGTGTAATGCAATCACAGCGATTCGGTTCTCTTTATCACCCCACTCCATTTTAATATCGCAAAATATTGTACAATGTATTGGCGCCAAAATGAGAAAACTCAATGAGCAATCATATAAAAATGACAGATTCCAAATTCAAATATAATATTTTGTTTATTTTTAATTGTAACAGTATTTATGGCTAGACTAAGTAATATCAATAAATACAGCCAAACTAAACGGTAAAATTATCTTTGATTACAAGACCCTGCCTATTTCTGCCGCGAATCAGTAATGCGTTTCGGTTTGAAGGGTGGAGCAGCCGTTGTAACTATACTTGAGACATTAGAACTTATA